ACGTTTCCCCTTTTTACTGCATGTGAATGTCATCACGTTTCCCCTTTTTACTGCATGTGAACGTCATCAAAATGCGAGAACGCGGCGGCGTTGGTTGAAGGTGAAGCGACAGCAGCTGATCGGGACCGAGAAGATGTAAGACCTCGTTGACCTGAGGGTCATGTGACGGTGGGTGACACGGTGTAGACCCCTCCCTGTGGTGTCAGTCATCAGTTCCTGGTTGTTCTTTTTTAAAGTTCTGTCTCAAACAGAAAAAAGTACTCAAAGTACTGACTGTAGTACTCCTTCTGTGACTGTAATAAGTACCACACTCTACAGTACTACACTCTACAGTACTACAGTACTACACTCTACAGTAGTAGTAGTTATAGATAAAAACACTACAGTAAGCATCTTCTGACCTTTAATCCAGGTGGTCCTTGGTCCTTGGTCCAGTTTGGACTCATCTCCAGAACCATTGGTCAAACAGTACCAGGGTCATTAGTTCTAAGATGAGCCGTGATGTCATTCATTCATTCAGTGGTGAAATCTGTCCTTGAACCACTGGGTGTCAAATGTTAGCCCTCCATAATACTACACACACACACACACACACACACACACACACACGCGCCTGCAGCACCATGAACCAGTACCTGTGACCACAGCTGGTCCTGTGGTTCCTTCTCTGAGTTTCCTTGTTTTATTCCTAAGAATATCAAACGGAGCTTCTGCATGTGTCGTGAAGTAGACGAACTCTGACCGACCGACAGAAGAGACTCGACCGTGCAATAAAAGTTAAGGATCATAAAGACGTCGGCGTCATTTCTGATTTTTATTCCTTCAACATGTTTGAAATGTCATTTCCAACAGGACGTCATTCAGTCCACGTGTTTGGACAACCACAATGTCGTCATCAGTCAGCTGTCAACAGAGGGCGCCCCCTCACACTGCTGCATTTATGGGGGGGTGGGGGGGGGTCAGGTCAGTCTGCTGTATGGAGGCAGACCTGATGGGCCGTCCTCCCCCTCTGTGGTGCCTGACTCCATAGGTTGTGCTGGAGAGTTGAAGAGCCTGTTGTCTCCCCCTGCTGGACGGAGAAGTCATCATCATTTTACTGTTGGAGAGTGAAGTCACTGTAGGACCGTTGGTTGGTTACTTACTGTGCCAGGTACAGACCATCTCAGTGTCCCCGGGGTCACACTGAGGGACGAGTGTCTCCTATAACACACACACACACACACACACACACACACACACACACACACACACACGGTCAGGTCAACAACCACAACCAGTTGTACAGGGGGCAGGTGGTGACCCTGACCGGGGCAGAGTTCATGTTAGAGCGTGTCATCTCACCAGTCCACTCCTGGTATCATAGCAGCCACAGAAAGGCAGACTGCGTGAGCCGACGTAACCAATCAGGGAGGAGAGAGCCAGGCCGATGACGCAGGACAGGAGGATGGTGGCGTTGGCCCCCTTCACCATCCGATGAAGCACGAAGGTCTGAGCAGAAACCACACCAAGGTACAAGGACGTAGTAACACAGAAGGAGGTGGCCAACCAGTGGGCCGGGGACCAGTAACAGGCCGCACATCTTTTTTTTTAAAATTCTGTCTCTGTATGTAGTACTAAGAGTTATGACATCATTAGATTTACTTCCTGTCTGTGCTGATTGATGGACGTTGATGATCTGATGCTTCTGTTCACTGTTAAAGTAGAAAACCATCAACACGACGGAGCGACCACGTCATCTTACCACCTGAGGACTGTCGTGGCGATGGAAGACGTCCTCGTCCTCTTCTCCGTACGTGAGCGTCAGACAGGCGTAGCCAGATATAACCAGCACGGCCACGCAGGACAGACCTGCTGCCGCCACCATCACGCTCACCTGCAGGTGGCGACAGGCGCAAGCATTCACACAACAAACTGAAATGCCAGGGCAGTTTGGGGGGGGGGGTCAGTAGGAGGCGTTCTAAGTCAAAGTTACAGTGCAGTTCGGGGGGGGTCAGTAGGAGGCGTTCTAAGTCAAAGTTACAGTGCAGTTCGGGGGGGGTCAGTAGGAGGCGTTCTAAGTCAAAGTTACAGAGCAGTTCAGGGGGGGGTCAGTAGGAGGCGTTCTAAGTCAAAGTTACAGTGCAGTTCGGGGGGGGTCAGTAGGAGGCGTTCTAAGTCAACGATCTGTTCATGACCTGAGACGAGAATCAACTGCTGTGTCTCAGATCAACTTCAACTGTGACGCAGCCTGGGGGAGCGTCGTCACTGCAGCGTCACTGCAGGAGTCCGGAGTCACGTGACCAGACAGCGCGAAACAACGAGGAAGAGTAGGAGGATCTTACCAGCACTGAGTGTTTCCTTTGGGAGGCAAACAGAGCCAGGACACCTGGAGACAGCAGGAGGAGAAGGAGGAGCAGGAGAAGGAGAAGGAGGAGCAGCAGGAGGAGAAGGAGGAGCAGCAGCAGCAGCAGGAGGAGCAGGAGGAGCAGCAGCAGGAGGAGGAGCAGGAGGAGGAGCAGCAGGAGGAGCAGCAGGAGCAGCAGCGTTGACACAGAAGGTTTACATGTTTACACGTGACCACAGTGTGTGTGTGTGTGTGTGTGTGTGTGTGTGTTTCCTAAACTCCTCACCAGCCCCCCCCACAGCGGGGTCCTGCTGCTGCTCAGCGCCGTGTTCTTACGGAAAACCGCGTCCATGAAGCCGCAGACTACACACAGACCGGCGCAGGCGATCTGGAGGACACCGAGGACCAGCATGCTCCGCTGGTTCAGCATAAAGTACCGATGTCGGCCCATGACGTATTTGCCGGGTGGAGAAAAGCTGTGGAACTTCCGGTCTACCTGTGCTCGGTGTCAAAGTTCAGAACCATCAGTTGACCACTCCGTACCTGGTCCAGTCCAGTCCCTCCGCTGGTCTTTGTCTCCCGGCAGCTCGGCTCGGTTCAGAGGAGACAAAGTTCAACAGCAGCAGGTGCGGACAACAGACAGTGATGTCATGGGGTCCGCCCCCTACCGGTTAAAAGGTACACGCTTCAACTTCCCACTCACATGTGGTGATTTGAAGTTGAAGTTCCATTTATAGTTATATATTTATATATGTATATTTACATATGTTTTCAATCAGAGGAAACAGGAAGTGACAGAGGACGATGTTATTTTTTAATATCACAGTGAATTCTAATTTGGACTGAGTCAGTGTCTGTCCTGTAACAACATCTCTACAGATTATTCTGCTGCTCTCAGGTTCTCCCCTCCCCCCCCACCCTCCCTCTCTCTGTCCACCACTTTGTTCGTCCATTTGAAGAGACAGACAATGAAGCTAGGAAACAAAACAAAAAAAAACCTACGTTCACTTTTCACAGAATGGAGAGCATACGCATGCGTCGGTGTCGGTGGGTGCTGAGGGGGGGGGGGGGGGGGGGGCAGGGTCCAGACATCCACTGTTGTCTGATCTGTTCGGGCCGACACCTCAGCCAATCATATCGTTTCTCTGTCCTTGCATCAGTGGAAAAACTCCAGGTCACAGCTCCACCCTGGACCGACCGCCGTCTCTCATTGTGAACAGGTTGAAGGTTCAACCCCCGTGCGTTGTCCTGTCAAGCCCTAGACACGTGGACGGACGTCTACGGGCTCTTCTTCATGGCTTGTTTCACTGCTTCCTGGAGCCGACTCTCAGTCTGCTTCATCAGCGCCACCTGCTCCTTCAAGGCCTTGTTCTCGTCTCTGAGGGTCATGATCTCCTCCAGTCCACTGGCCAGCGCTTCTCTCACGCTGACGAAGGCGGCAGCGATCTTCTGACTGTGTTGGTCCATGGCTCACAGCTTCAGGACGCCGTCCTCCTCCTTAGGTTCTCTGCCTGTGACATCATGACATGGATTCAAAGGTTCACAGGTCCTCAGCTTTATGATGCATCAAAGGACACTTTGATCAGACTGAGCGGTGGTTCAACCTCCGGCTCTTTGATCAACCACGGCTGCACTCGTTTGCATTTGCTTTTATTTGTCGACCAGAAACAGGCTGCTGTGGAGGACCTCGGTCTTTGGACCAATCAGTGTCGGACAACACGGTTCATCACCAAGATGTGGTACCACACAGGAACACACTCTTATGCTACACACACACACACACACACACACACAGGAGTGGAGGGCAGCTGTTACACAGTTGTTATCAACCTTCTCTTTAAAGTCAGTTCTTCTCTGTGTGAGGACCCGACCGTACCGGACCTGTATGGACCGGATGTTCCTGCAGAACCTTGTTCACACTGTCAGCATACAATTCCGGCTGGAGTTTCCTTCATTGACTGGAGGTCTGGTTCAAGGACCGTGTGTAGGAGGCCAGATGATGGCGCCAGTGCACAGGACCAGGACAGTTACAGTCAAAGTGTCTGTGATGTCACCAGAACCACAGGTTTGGTCTCATCAGTCTCTTGTAACCATGAGAGTGACTGAATCAGAACACAGGAGCAGACGATGGACGAGAGACACTGACAGTGAACAGAGAGAGAGAGAGAGAGTGACTGTGTCAGTGAGTGGAGATGACAGACGGAGGTGTGACGGTGTATCTGTTCAGGTGTAACTGCAGCACAGGATGAAATGACAAAATGAGTGCAGACGTCTGTAATCGATGACATCATCAGCACAGGGCCAATCACTGTCCGTCCCGTTGCTGCTGCTGAAAAGCCTCCAGTTCCCTCCTGTACCAGTCTGGAGCGTCGGGGCAGTTGGTTCCCATGACGACGTGATCGTATCCGTAGGCCACGGTCAGCTCCTCGTCCTTCTGCACGGCCCTCAACGTTCGCATGCATTTTATGGACCCGAAACGAGGGTGGACAAACCTGGAAAAGACCAGCGTTAGAACCGCCCAGCACCGTCATGATACCGTGGTTCAAATCTCAGCTCGTCCAGTAGGTGTCAGCACATGGCTGTGACCTTTGTGTGTCTTTCTTTAATTTCTGTGAGTATATCAGTGTAGAGTTCAACTAAACAGGCTCAGGTTCCAGGTCAGTAAATACGACTGAACGGAGCCGACGGACAGCTGGGATTTGAACCACGGTATCAAAGCCGTACAGACCGCTGCAGTTCTCTTTCACACCACTTGTCAAAGCAGGCGTACTCACAGCTCATATCTGCAGTTTGGGCTGAAGGAATGGTTTGCTTTGTGGGCCAGAGAGGCGCAGTATCTGTCAGTCTGACAGTAGGGGGCGGGGACATCGATGACGGTGTCTTCGTCCAGTGATATGGTGTTTCCATTCAGGGACCAGTCTCTGCCGTCCACCTACAGAGGGAGCTGCCATGTTCAGTCCTGTCTTTGTTTCATTTCTACAAAACAGTGAGTTTCTGAAGGCTGGACGAGGATAAACATGAGGTTCAGGTGGAGGACGAGATGAGGACGACCAACTGTGTGTGTGTGTGTGTGTGTGTCAGTGTCATACCTCAGTGTGTGTGATGCGAACTCCATTGTAAAAAGCCATCACAGTTTCCTTGTCAGCATCAATCTTGGCAAATAATCCCTGTCCTGCTCCTTTAATGGTAGAGTCCGCCACAAACACCCTGTCCACGTCGAGTGGACCACGTCGGGTGGACCACGTCGAGTGGACCACGTCAGGTGGACCACGTCGGGTGAGGACACAGTGATGATGATGATGATGATGATGATGATGTGTATCAATATCAGTTTGTATTTTGCTTTATATTTGCACATTTTCACGGCATATTTATTATATTTTCCCAGTTTAAACTGTAAATGTTTCAGTGACGTCAGTGACGTCATTACGTCAGTGAGCGCTCGTCAGGAGTACTACGGAAAATAGTCCAATTTGACTGCCTCTGAAATCTACTATTTATTTATTTATACCTATTCCACACTGACAAGCAGAACAATGACACACTCCGCCACTAGGTGGCAGCAGATGACCACTAAAAACAGTACAGTATATACAGTATATGCCCACCTGTCGCTCTCGTACGGGTCAGGCAGCAGGACGTGGGTGGCGACGCAGGTGGATGTGGACTTGTCGTAGGAGTAAAGTGGGCCTTGAACACACACACACACACACACACACACACACACACACCACGGGTCGGTCAGTGTTTGACCACATCACACTGTACTTGGTCTGTGTGTGTGTGTGTACTGACTGTCAGGGGAAACTTCAAAGCGAGGTCTCCCGTTGTGACTGGAGGTCAGGACGGCCAGCCGCGCCCGGATGAGCTCCCCGTCCACCAACG